TTCAAACCAGCGGTCCTCTCGGTCCAAAATGTGGACTTGGCTGTCCTCAAAAGAGCGGGATTTATCTTTCAAATGCAGATGGACAGCTGACTCTTGTCCTGATGGGTTTGCTCTCCTATGTTGTGCCCTGCGTTTGTGAAGTGGTTGTTTTGTTTCCCCGATGTATAGATTTGAACACAGCTCACTCCATTGTACTGTATATTCCACATTGCTTAGTTTGTGTCTGGGTGTTTTGTCCTTGGGGCAGACAAGCTTCTGCCTTAGTGTACTCTTCAGTTTGAAGTGTGCACGTATGTTGTGTTGGCTGAAGACACAGTCCTTTCAACAATTCCAAGAAGGCTCCACACCCATTTTTTAAGAAGAGACTGGACAGCCATTTGTCCGAAATGGTATAGGGTTTCCTGCCTGAGCAGGGGGTTGGACTAGATGACCTCCAAGGTCCCTTCCAACTTTATCATCTTTATTATTATTATTATTACCACCACTCAGGTGACCCTGAGGACATAGATAAGCCTCCAAGTGGCCTCAACGACTCTCTAAAAGAATGCAAATGACCAGCTGTCTGCAAGGAGTATAAATCCTGCCGTTCCCCATCATCCAGTCAGAGCTGAAGAAGCTTCTTGGAGGAGAAGTGAAACATCTTCAAGAAAAAAACAAGGAAGTCCAGTTGCCTCCTGAAAAAAAGCATCTTTGGGACAACCCTGCTAATGAAGTCAACAGAAGGATAGCATCAAGGTCACAAGAAATGATGCTAAATGAAATCACACTTGGAATACTATGTCCAGTTTAGAGGACTGGAGGCTAAAATGTATGAAGAACGGTTGCAGGAACTGGGTTTGTCTAGTCTAGTGAAAAGAAGGACCAGGGGTGACATGATAGCAGTCTTCCAGTATTTGAGGGACTGCCACAAAGAAGAGGGGATCAACTTATTCTCCAAAGCCCCTGAAGGCAGGACAAGAAGCAACGGATGGAAAACTGATCAAGGAGAGAAGCAACCTGGAATTAAGGAGAAACTTCCTGACAGCGAGAACAATAAACCAGTGGAACAGCTTGCCACCAGAAGTCATGGGTGCTTCATCTCTGGACGTTTTAAAGAAGAGACTGGACAGCCACTTGTCTGGAATGATATAGAGTCTCCTGATTGAGCAAGGGACTGGACTAGAAGACCTCCAATCTTCCTTCCAACTCTGTTATTCTAAGCCAATTATTGAGTTTTGGTCACCACAATACAAAAAAGATGCTGAGACTCTAGAAAGAGTGCTGAGAAGAACAACAAAGATGATCAGGGGACTGGAGGCTAAAACATATAAGGAACGGTTGCTGGAATTGAGTATGTCTAGTCTAGTGAAGAGAAGGACCAGGGGTGACATGATAGCAGTCTTCCAATATCTCAGGGGCTGCCCCAAAGAAGAGGGAGTCAAGCTATTCTCCAAAGCACCTGAAGGCAGGACAAGAAGCAACGGATGGAAACTAATCAAGGAGAGAAGCAACCTAGAACTAAGGAGAAACTTCCTGACAGTTAGAACAATTAATCCGTGGAACAACTTATCTCCAGAAGTTGTGGTGGCTCCATGACTGGACGTTTTTAAGAAGAGACTGGACAGCCACTTGTCTGAAATGGGATAGGATCTTCTGCTTGAGCAGGGTGTTGGACCAGAAGACCTCCAAGATCTGTTCCAGCTCTGTTATTCTGTTAAGAAGAAACAGATGGAGAACATCATGGAGAGAACCAACCAAGAACCAAGCAGGAATTTCCTGATCGTGAGAACAATGAATCAGTGGAGTGACAGGCCTCCAGAGGTTGTGGGTTTGCTATCAAGAACAGACTGTACAACCATTTCACAAGGATGGTATAAGGCAGGGGTAGGCAACCTTGGCTCTTTTATGATTGTGGACTTCCATTCCCAGAATTCCTGAGCCAGCCAGGCTGAGGGGACAGAGAGAGGTTTCCAAGCTGAGCCATGCTGCCTCAGGAATTCTGGGAGCTGAAGTCCACGAGTCATAAAAGAGCCAAGTTTGCCTACCCCTGACCTATACCATCTCAGACAAGTGACTGCCTACCCCTGGTATAAGGTCTCCTGCTTGAGCAGGGGGTTGGACTAGAAGACCTCCAAGGTCCCTCCCAGCTCTATGATTCTATATTCTGTGTCCAAAGTGGTTTCTCCTTTGACAGATGGCCTCCAACCTCCGGATATTCATTTGGGAGCATTGAAATAAATTTTCAATTCCCTTTCCTGGTTTCAGGAGACCTCTGGGAGTTAAATGGGGCCTTTTCAATCTTTCCCCATCGGCTGAAACAAACGAAGCTGAGAAGGAAGGGATGGTGGAAGTCAGCCACCCGTTTGTGTGTGTGTGTCTTTTCCCCCCCCCCCCTTCTTCTTCCAAATAATTTCTTTTTTTCTCTCTCTCTCTCTCTCTCTTTTTCTCCGGCCTGTTCTGCAACCATAGAAACCGGGAGAGGGGGAAAAAAAGGTGGTGGGTTACAGAAGCTAAAGGACAATGAATATTATCTCCAGAAAAAGCACAAAAGCCTCTTTAGTAGATTATGAGAAGCTGCAGGTCCAAAATAACATCCTTCCCGCCCTCAGCAACGATAGAACAACCTGGCTTGGGAAACAGAAAGTTCTGTTTCTAACAGAAAGAGGGGGGGGGGAATGTGGTTTTTGAAGGACACCATGTACCAACAGCATTGGCACCAGCCTGAATAATCTTTCTCGTCTACTTAAGGTTAAAACATTCAAGCACAGGCAGTCCTTGACTTCCAACAGTTCATTTACTGACCGTTCAAAATGACAAGAGTACTAAAAGAAGTAATAATTATAATAATAACGACAACAATAACTTGGGTTTGGCTAGTTTAGAGAAAAGAAGGACATGAGGGCAGTCTTCCAATATCTCAGGGGCTGCCCCAAAGAAGAGGGAGTCAAGCT